TAAGTTTCGTTTCTTGTAGTAGAATGATTTGAGCCCTGTTTTTGTGTATCCATGATTTAAGCCGGGCTCATTTGACAAAAAAAAAAAGCCGGGATCGTTTGAACTTAACCATTACCATCCACTAGACCTCTGACATTCCAAGAGGTGATCCTAAGCTTAGGCTCCATCCGTCGCTGCGGACAGTGCTTGTGATTGGATAGACACCACGGCGGAGGCGGGGGCAGTGAGTGCAGCCTGCAGGAATGCATTGTCCCGCGGGGTTCGAAGGGCTTCTGAATAGGTTCTGGAGGAGATTCTGCTTTCAGGGAGGAGGATGTCATTGATTTCAGTGATGGATCTCCCCCCTGATGCATCTCCCAGAATCGGAAGTTGTCTTTCGTCGCTGCTGGATTTGAACCAGCTCAGCGGGGCCCAGTAGAAACCTTCGCTTGCTTTCTGAATGTCAATCCCGGGAGCAGGATGTGCATCATCGAGGCACAGCGCGTGTATCGGGTAGATTATTCCTGAGGCTCCTATCTTGTTAAATTTCACCAGTGGTTGGTTTGGGATGGGCCTCACTGCGAACCTGTTCTTCAGAAGCTGTGCTCCGAGGGAGGCATAAGGGATGTTGTATACCCCCTGTTCATTCACCTGGAGGAGCACGAATGGGCCCTGATTAGTATTTTTGAACAAAAGAGGGATTCCCACTTGTGCAGCTGTCGTTTGGTCCCTAAGAGGGGGGGTTGGCTCCCTGAGGGCATCACCGGATTGACCTCTAATGCCTGTGGGTGGGTGGGTCCTTTTGGATAACATTCCTGCTCTGCGTAGGTCGTCAACTACCATGTCCGCCTGAGGTTGGTGGGAGGAACGAGGGTCGGGTGTACCTTCTCTCAATTCGGTGGCTGGGCGGGGGGACCCGTCTGCTGCTCCTCTTGGTTGGGCCTGCTTATTACCTCTAGGATCTTCAGCGTGAGTGGGGTCTGTGTTTTTGGGAAACCCAGACCTGCTGGCAACGTCAGGGTTTCCCCCCTGCCATTGCTGCACTTTCTGGGCCCATGACACCCTGTTATGGCCACTTGCGCCTGATTGGCTTGTAGAATGCTGACCCAGTCGTGAGGGCGTGTACTGGACCGTCTCCAATTCTCCTGGCTCAACTGGTTTTTACCCTGTTGAGCCATTCGATTACAATCCCCTCCTTTGGATCTTGTCACGGGCTGGCGGAGGTCCGGATTCATCCATTGGAATGAGCGTACTGGATTCCTCGTGTCATGTCTCGAATCCTGTCGTGATTCTTGACGTGAGTTGGAGCATTCATTTTGGCGTACCGGGGAGGGAGTTGGCAAGGCCGAGCGGGGGCCTGCGGGGGCCTGCGCCTGCGCCTGCCGCCGGGCGAGGCAGGGTAATGGTGCCCTGGCCCAGTCGTCCTACGACTGAGGAGGTGGTGCATTGGGAACTGGCTGGCGTTGATTGCCTCTGTTGGTTATCAATTACCCGTTCTGTACGGTTCTGAAAGCGACCAACAGGAATTATGAAGAAGTCAAACTATGCAGGAAAATGGAAAAAGCAGAAAGAAGTGCCCCGGCCCGGTTCTGTGCACAGGCATTCGTCCGGTCGTCTGATATATCGGTTGTGCAGCCTTTACACCAGAGGTGGTTGCTGTTAACCAGGTCCCCCGTCAAAAATTCAGAGCCAGTAAAGACTTTCAGAGTTCTGACGAACTTCTCCTCTGCTTCCCGATGAAGCTGGTATTTAAGATTACCCAACTTCGGAGCTGGTAGGAGTGTATGCTCTTATCATCACTCCTATCAGCAGCCACGAGGTGGTGTTTTCTTAAAAAAAAAAAAAAAAAAAAAAAAGAAAGGATAACCCAACTTCGGATATATTGGATCGTCTACCACATCGAACACCTTGATGATCTTACTCATTTAGCTTCTCTATCCCCGATCTAATGTAGAACGAGGCATCGATCGGGAAACAGGTAGCCATGACCCTGTAAGTCTTCCGTTTTTTCTTCTTCCCGGTGTTGAATCCATTCCGCCCGAGGCATCCAAGGGCGGAAGAGGATTTTTTTTTTTTTTTTTTCGGTTTCGTTAGGGTTACATATGTTTTCACTGTTTTTTTTGGGGGGTGCTCTTTCCCTTTTTGTAGATTCGCAGGAACTTGATTGTGATTCTCTTTCACAGGGGACGGGCTCCGCTTGCTGAATGCACTTGGAAGCCTTGTGGCCCCTGAATCTGAAACTTACGCTGGATGATGGATGCATATGAAGTACAAGAACTAGTGAGCTAGGAAGGCAATGAGCAGAACCAAAGAATCACCAAAGTGATTAGGGAACAGATATACAATGCAGCTGCATTGCAGCGGACACTGATAATGAGTCAATCTGGCTCTTATTGTTTTTTTTTTTAATTTATATATGGGTGTCGGCTGCATTGTATTTGTGTTCCAGTCCGGATACAGACAGTGCACTCACTATCATCATCCCTTCAAATAACCAGAGGGGAACGATACATAGACAAAAGTGGCCCCTGGCAGATCACACACATGGGAAGATAACCATAGACGTGAGAGCCAAGAAAAAGAGGACGACGAAAAAGCGAGATGATATGCGAGAGAGAGCCCAGAACAAAATATATTTGCAAGCTGATAATAATCTCCCTTGATCCAGAATCATCTCTCAAATTCTCAATACAATGCTGAGCCTGAACCAGGGAGAAGTTTCCTGGAACTAGCAGTCAAGTCTCTGATCTCTCTCCGTGGAGCCGAGAGGCACAACGAGAAGAAGACGACTACGATGAAGAAGAAATCTCTCTCTCTCTCTCTCTCTCTCTCTCTCTCTCTCTCTCTCTCTCTCTCTCTCTCTCTCTCTCTCTGTGTGTTGTCTCTCTTATACACATCTAGATGTGTATAAGAGACAGGTCCATGAGTTGTCATTGCTGGAACCCTCAATGTCACATGCCTATGATTTTTTATTTTTTTTTTAATGTGGCCCAATGGACCACGGATCAGATATTAAACTGATCAGAACAGATACTACACTTGATCTTAGCCAAAAGGCCGAGAAAGGTATTATACCACCTTTTTTTTTTCTTTTTTTACTTTTTCTTTTTTGAAAAATCTCCAGATGGTTTGAAAGTAAGGCTGAGAAGGTACCGCCTTGAATTGCAGCAGATCGCAGAGTAAAGCTTGGCCACTTCCGGCACCCATGTAAGTGCTCCTCGGCCCAAAATGCTCCTGCGGACCTCCAGTTTTGCCTAGCATCTCCTCCTAGCTCAAGCAAACTCTAGTGCCCACTGTGAATGTGGCAACACTCAATGGGATAATGCCTCCTAGCTCTAACCCTGGGTTAGAGCCTGGGTTAGAGCCTGGGTTAGAGCCCGGGTTAGAGCAGCCCTGGTTTAGAGCAACCCTGGGTTAGAGCAACCCTGGGTTAGAGCAACCCTGGGTTAGAGCCTGGGTTGCTCTCCAGGCTCTAACCCAGGCTCTAACCCAGGGTTGCTCTAACCCAGGCTCTAACCCAGGGTTGCTCCAACCCAGGCTCTAACCCAGGGTTGCTCTAACCCAGGCTCTAACCCAGGGTCTAACCCAGGGTTGCTCTAACCCAGGCTCTAACCCAGGGTCTAACCCAGGGTTGCTCTCCAGCAGCCTGGGTTAGGGCCAAACTGAATGTTCTAACTGCGACTGCCTGTGGTCCAGCACTGACCTACCAGAGATCTCACCGGCCTGCTCCTAGGGCCGTCCGATCGCTCCCCGGCGATCAACGGTCCCCTAAATGCAGGCTTGAGTCCTACCGTCTTCCCCCGAACACAACACACCCCCATTTTGCTTGTATCGGGCCGGAAATATACCTTGTATACGTTCATTTTCAGGGTGCGCTATGTTCGGGGGAAGACGGTCGTCGACCACCTGGGCATATAAACGGTCAGCCTGTATCCCTACCAGACGGCCAATCCTACCTCTCATCACAAGGTCCTGCTGGTTTAGCAAGCCTTTTTATAAAGTTATCCTGGGTAATGAATAGCTCGCCGCATTCAATTACCTCCAAGGAATTGACGCTCCGAGATGTCACACTAAGCCACACTCTCCCATTTGCACAGCCACCCCCATCCCACCGACAAACTGAGACCCACTCGGTCACCCAAGTCTGGATGCAGCAGGGATCCCACCAGAGTGACCAGACATGACAGGATCCCATATTCTCACCAGTGAAAGCATGCCAGCTGCGGGGATCCCTACCGACAGGTCGGAATCCACTGGCAACCCCAAAAGAAGGAAAAAAAAGAAAAAGCCCTACAGCCAGGATCCCTACAGGCAACTTGGAATCCCTACAGCCAGGATCCCTACAGGCAACTTGGAATCCCTACAGCCAGGATCCCTACCGCCTAACTCGGAATCCCTACAGGAGGCAAGTTGGAATCCCTACTGCCACGTTGGAATCCCATCCGCCATGTCGGAATCCCTTGTGCCAAGTTGGGATCCCAACAGATATGTATGGAAGCAGCAGCAGGGATAACTCCTGCGAACAACCCAGGATCCATTCGTAGCCGCCAAAGCATATAATTTCAGTAGGGATCCCTACAGACATCGTCCCCCTTTGGCGGGGGGTCAATTCGTTCCCACCAAAGAGTATGCCAGTTGGGATCCCTACAGGCATTGTCAACCTTCAGCAGTTGGGACCCCATCAAAGAATGCATCACAATACCTGCACTCCTTTTCAAGACTTGTTAAGACCGCCCCCCTGCCCCCCCCCACAAAGAGACGTATGAAGAGGTCCCCCCAATAACGTCTCACCGTCCGGCCCCATCCCTCTCAATCTTCCTCTGTTACTTTGCTGGGACTGGATCACAACGATCACGACCCGTCAACATGACTGACATCAAATCGTCATCATCATCAATCATCATCATCATCATCATCATCATCATCATCATCATCATCGACAGCCTGTGATTATCTTTTGCTCCAAGATTCAAAATGATAAGCAAGCATATTACGCAAATTACACGATGACCCAGACTTACATATGCAACCAAGAAAACCAAAGATCAAGACCGACCATTCATCATCATCATCATCATCATCATCATCGTCATCGTCATCGTCATTGGATACCATAGGCAAGCACATTATGGAAATTACACAATGACTCAGGCATATACGTGCAGCCAAGAAAACCAAGATCAAGACACACCATTCATCCTCCTCCTCCTCCTCCTCCTCCTCATTATCATCATCAGCAGCAGCAGCATCAGCATCAGCAGCAGCATCATCAGCATCATCAGCATCATCAGCATCAGCATCATCATCAGCATCATCATCACCATCATCAAAATCATCATCATCCACAACATCGCCAACAGTTCTAAGCTTTCGAAATATGGATGCGGGTAATACCGCCACCCGCTAGATTGAGTGTAAAGCACGGCCCACCTGCTACCATAAACCTTCATCATCCACCGAAGCAGTCATCATAAAAAAAGATCATCATCATCAATAACGACAATGACAACAACAGGCATCTCACACCAACAATAACAGCCATCCCTCATCAGAATCATCATCACCAGCAGCAGCAACAGAGCCCACCAAACAGCACCACTACTTCGGCTAAGTACTATTTATTACCTCATCGCCACCACAGACCACTCGTCAACTCGAACATCCGTATATCGTCCTGCCTCATCCATTTGCAAAGAGGCACCCTCCCGCCTGCAAGGCACATGACTGCATAGAAGGAGGGTTTCAGGTCATCCCAGATGCACTCGAAGTCTCAAACAATGACAACCAAAAACAACCAAAAAAAACAAAAAAAACAAAAAAAAGAAGACACTCATGTCTACTGTTCAAAGGGAAACAGTGGTAGAGTGGGAAGAGAAGACCAAGAACGGTGGAGGGAGGAGGAGGAAGGAGGGAGAGGAGGACTTGCTCTACAGGGAACTCCCCGTCACCTTACATCACCATCTCAAGAGATCTTTCCACATCCCTCCTGCCAATGCCAGCAATAAATCCTTACATCACCCCGCCCGCTCTCCCTCTCTCCCTTCCTCCTCCCTCACTCACTGCAGAGATCTTTCAGCATCCCTCCCACCAATGCCAGCTATAAATAACCCCTGAATACATATATCCTTATAAACCCAAATCCCTATATCACCCTCCCTCCCTCCCTCCCTCCCTCCCTCGCTCCCCCTCCCTCGCTCCCCCTCCCTCCCTCCCTCCCTCCCTCCCACGCACCCCCTCCCTCACTCCCCCTCCCCCCCCCCCTCCCCCCCTCCCTCCCTCCCTCCCTCCCTCACTGGAGAGAGCTTTCCACATCCCTCTTGCCAATGCCGGCCATAAATAACCCCTCAAGGCATATACTCATTGACGCCCAATCCCCATATCACCCTCTCTCCCTCCCTCCCTCCCTCCCTCCCTCCCTTCCTCCCTTCCTCCCTCCCTGCCCAACCATGACAGGTTTGTGCATACTGAAATGGTAGAAATGAGGGGACGAGCCTTAAGAAGCACAGAGCGGCAAAGAGGGGGAACAGGGCGGATTTTTTTTTTTTTTTAATGCGTACCTTCGCTCTCAGAAAACAGGTCAATGAACGTCAACATGATTTCTCCTGATTAAAAAAAAAAAAAAAAAAAAAAAAAAAGAGGAGGAGGTAAAAGGAACTCACGCGAATGTGCCCCATCTCCAACGAGAAGAGAGCTTGTGGTGTGCCTTTTGTGCCATTACACACCCTCCTGCACCACAGAAGACTCTTGCCGTTTGTGTTCACAATTGACAAGGCAGGGTAGGGCTGTCCGTTGTGCGCGCGTAGGACGGATTCAGAGTCTTCTGACCCAATCAGACGGAAAAGCCACCCAAAAAAGCTAGTGGGTACAATGCAGTCCTCAGGTAGTTCTATTGGTGGACAATGCAGTCAATCCTCTCCTAATGGAGAGCAATCAATGCTGCAGCAGGTGTAGCTCCCCACAAATAAATAGATGGGAGCCTTCAATAAAAATGGGCCCCTACACTAGGCGGAATGCTCTTATCACCTCCCAAAGTAGGGGTCCCGACTGAAGATTTTCGGGAGGGGAGGGGAGGGGAGGGGAGAGGAAAGAAAAGGGAAAGGCATGCAAATCAATCACACGAGTTTATTTTTTCTTTCCCAGTTCCCCTTTCTTTCATCCCAGTCTT